GGGAGGGAGGGAGAGAGAGAGAGAAGACCATTAGTGACTCCTTACTTGAGTACCACAGTCAAAAAAAGACATCCTATACTACTTTTTGTGGATTCTGAGAACAGAAATATGAGCAAAAGTTGAAATTTGCCTGTATTTTCTCTTAAAATATACCATTTCCCAGAGTATCGGTATCAGGTTCCAAAATAGCAGTTGTCCCATTCTCTGTCTTAGAAATGGCCTTCTAAGTTGTACATTTTTAATGTGAGAAAATCCCTATTAAATGTACATGGATTATTATATTAATTAATAATGGATTAGATTAATCCATTAATTAATTTGGTTTTAATTACATTCATATGAAATCAAATCAGATGGAAAGAGAGAGAGAAAGATATTTGCTCTGGGCTGGCACATCCTTTGGAGTCATCTGCAACGATGCATTAAAAAAAAAAGAGAGCAGATCCTCAATCATGCCACCATCTTGAGTTTTTTAGCCTTTTCCCACAGACGCTGTTGATTGTGGTTATCAAAAAAAACAGTGAAATCAGCACATCCTTCCAATAATGAAAATCTCTGCCATCAAAGGTAAACGAGATGATTGATGACAAATGGTACAGGATTCTCTCTCCATAGGTTATGATATTAAGATCTTGCTTAACTTGTGCATCTTAGAATCCTTGCTTGCTGATTCCACATAGTCAAATGCCTTTTGGCTTATATGAAGATAGCAATAGCAATAACATTCAGACACATATATCATCCCATAGAACTTCACAGAACTCTCTGGATGATTTACAATGTAGAAGATTATTTGCATATGGCCCCCAACAATCTGGGTCATCATTTTACCAATCTCGGAAGGATGGAAGGCTGAGTCAACCTTGAGCCTTGTCAGGATCAAACTCCAGGCTGTAGGCAGAGTTTGCCTGCAATACTCCAATCTCATCACTGTGCCACCAGGGCTCATGATGAATGGCTTCAGTGCTTTTATGCAAACACAGTTAAGACAATGCTAAAAGCGGGAAGTAAGTTGGTTATCTGAGGAATTGTTTTTCTCCCATAGTTGTACTCACCCTGTAGTCGTATCCAGCAGAGTTCGCATACTCTGGGTCCCATCCTTGAAATACCATTATTGATGGGTCCCCAGAGAGTATGCTTTCCCTGTTGTGGCACTTACCTTTGGAATGGTATATCCTCCACTACCCAGAGCTCTTTGCCTTGCCCTGACCTGGCTGTCCTTTAGGGAACCTTTTTCTCAGGTTTTGGAATTAATATTTCAATTTCTGCAGTTGTCCTGCATGATCAGACCTGGTTCTTTTTTTGGGGGGATCTGATTAGTTTTATCAGGTGATGCAACTTTATTAGGGATTTTTAATTAAACGTTTTTATTGTAAACCACCTAGAGTAATCCCGCGCATTGTGTGGTACTATAACTTTGATAAATGAATAAATAAATCACCTCCATATGCACAGAGCACCAGGTTCTCTCAAAGGAGTTATTTGCATCAATTTGTAAGGCAAGGAAGAATGACAATTCTAATTAAGAAAGATGTGCAAGGGGCACGTACCACATTCTGGATGAAATCAAAGTAGCTTTTGGATAACTGAACTGGTAGATATGATTCCCCATTTCAGTGTTTCAGCTGCAGTGGATTTAATGCCAAGCCAGGCTTTGGATTGTTAATGTTCTCAGAACAGATTGGCAGCAGATGCAGCATTAAAGTTGTCAAGGGATTACCAAAATGTGCAATTTGAAAACTAATCTCTTGCTCAAATCTGTTTTAATACAGATTTTCCAAGGACTCATGTGCAAATTTGGTATGGGAAATGCCACTTGGCCCAGCCCTATCAATAGGGTTCCTGTATCTAGAAATGGGGAAGTAAACCTCTAGTTTGCTCTTTATCTCAACTAAAATATTGGTTTGCTTACCTGCTGTGTAGCCTCCCATAATTTCTGCTGGAGCCATTCCAATTTAAGTTGCACTCCCACCGCTATGGGAAAAACGGAACAAATAAACAAAAAAACAAACAAACAGGGAAGGATTAGAGGGGAAAAAAACAAGATGTATCATAGGAGCGAAACTGACATTTTCCTCAGAGATCCTGGAGGAAGTCACACCTCTTAAAAAGTGTAAGTAACAGGTAAATGCTGAATCAGATCATAAAGTGAGAGTCAGGGGTTTAACGAGGGGAATAGAACCGGATCTATCAGCTGCTGTACTGAAATTCTGACACCTAACTCCCACTACACCCAAAATGTAACCATCTTTCCACACAACCTTCACTTGCTCTTCTCCCTTTCCCCAGGCGATCCAGCCTCTCTAGCCAGGCCCTGGAGCTGAGGCCTCAAATGACTCCTGAGCTGGATCCCTGTGACCCCCAAAATGGCTGGCAAACAGGGTTGTGCCCCTCGCTTTTCCTCAGGGGACGATGTTGGTGTTAGTTGGCTGGTTGTTCACTGTGCAGATGTCGAAGGGTTTCTCTTTATTTCCTCTCCAGACCCTCCTGGCTTCCCCCCCCCTTTCTTTCCAGTCAAGCAGGAAAAAAGAGCAAAGCAGGAAAAAAATGCTCTTGGTAGATCTGCTGTCCGTAGAGGCTGAGCGGCCAAGGTTGCCCTCCTCTGAATGGCGGAGGCAGCGGGAAGGAAGGAAGGAAGGAGAGAGGGAGGGAGGGAGGACAGAAGGAA